ATAACATTACGGTTCTATTATGCTCCGTTTGCATTGAATAAACGCCAGCCATGGAAAATAATTCACCAGTGCCAATCAACCAGCACAGAAGACATCAAAGACTGAGCTAACAATAGCACTGTACTCCAGCACCTCAATGTCCTAGCACAGAAGCCTTGCATCACATGGAATAATTCACATGGAAGTTGGCTTTCCCATCAATATTATGTGTATATTTCTTGTGATCCTGAATTTGAAATATTAAATAGGAGGCAGAAATCTTTCTATGTACCTTCCTCAGAAAAACTGCCCTAGTTTGGATGTTTTGCTTTGTGACAATGCTAGCTTCTCTAATCTAGACGCTTTTGGGTGTGAGTCGTAAGTTGTTTACTTGAATTGCATTCTTGTTTGTCAGTCTGAGAGATGGGCTCGAGTGCTTGTACTGCTTTGACAGCGACCTCACCACCTCACGTGTAAGTCTACATCATTACTAATAAGTGTGGAGAGGCTGATTTCCACTTCGCCAAGAACTGTAAGGATCAAAGCCCTCTCCGACAGCTTGTTGTGTGGATGCTTCAATCTGTCTCACTCAAGTCTGAGTTAACACCCAGAGCAGGTTCGTCCAAAACTGTGTGGCTGCAGCTGAGGATAGTGTCTCATAAAGCATGAACGATATAAAAGTTTTAAACATTAAACAACACTGAGAGTTGCTTTTTGGTACTATTGGTTATCTGGAAATATCAACACTGATAGTTTTTATTTTTTTAATTGAAGAGACATTAAGAGAGAAAAGCCAAGGTGTTTATACAGTAAGCATTATCCTTACATACAGTCATGGAACAATAAGAATGAAAGGGATAGCATTATTAGTATTATTATTAGTATAATATTATGTCATCATTTACTCACCCTCATGTCATTCCAAACCTGTATGACTTTTTTTTCTGTGGGGAAAATATATTGTTACATCATAACAACAGTTTTTGTTGCCATTGACTTCCATTGCATGGAGAAAAAAAAAAAAATTCTCAAATTATTTTCTTTTATTTATAGTTAGATCTACACTCACCGGCCACTTTATTAGGTACCCCATGCTAGTAACGGGTTGGACCCCCTTTTGCCTTCAGAACTGCCTCTATTCTTCGTGGCATAGATTCAACAAGGTGCTGGAAGCATTCCTCAGGGAGTTTGGTCCATATTGACATGATGGCATCACACAGTTGCCGCAGATTTGTCGGCTGCACATCCATGATGCGAATCTCCCGTTCCACCACATCCCAAAGATGCTCTATTGGATTGAGATCTGGTGACTGTGGAGGCCATTTTAGTACAGTGAACTCATTGTCATGTTCAAGAAAACCAATTTGAAATGATTAGAGCTTTGTGACATGGTGGAAGTAGCCATCAGAGGATGGGTACATGGTGGCCATAAAGGGATGGACATGGTCAGAAACAATGCTCAGGTAGGCCGTGGCATTTAAACGATGCCCAATTGGCACTAAGGGGCCTAAAGTGTGCGAAGAAAACATCCCCCACACCATTACACCACCACCACCAGCCTGCTCAGTGGTAACAAGGCATGATGGATCCATGTTCTCATTCTGTTTACGCCAAATTCTGACTCTACCATCTGAATGTCTCAACAGAAATCGAGACTCATCAGACCAGGCAACATTTTTCCAGTCTTCAACTGTCCAATTTTGGTGAGCTCTTGCAAATTGTAGCCTCTTTTTCCTATTTGTAGTGGAGATGAGTGGTACCCGGTGGGGTCTTCTGCTGTTGTAGCCCATCTGCCTCAAAGTTCGACGTACTGTGCGTTCAGAGATGCTCTTCTGCCCACCTTGGTTGTAACGGGTGGTTATTTGAGTCACTGTTGCCCTTCTATCAGCTCGAACCAGTCTGGCCATTCTCCTCTGACCTCTGGCATCAACAAGGCATTTCCGCCCACAGAACTGCCGCTCACTGGATGTTTTTTCTTTTTCGGACCATTCTCTGTAAACCCTAGAGATGGTTGTGCGTGAAAATCCCAGTAGATTAGCAGTTTCTGAAATACTCAGACCAGCCCTTCTGGCACCAACAATCATGCCACGTTCAAAGTCACTCAAATCACCTTTCTTCCCCATACTGATGCTCGGTTTGAACTGCAGGAGATTGTCTTGACCATGTCTACATGCCTAAATGCACTGAGTTGCCGCCATGTGATTGGCTGCTTAGAAATTAAGTGTTAACGAGCAGTTGGACAGGTGTACCTAATAAAGTGGCCGGTGAGTGTATATTGTATTTATTATTTTGTGTAGGAGTGTGTCGCAGTGTCTCAGGTACACATCTGAGCATATAATGTAGTTTTGAGGTTTAAATATGAATCTGTTTTGTTCTAAGTAAGAGTAAGTAGTTCTCAAAAAGTATTAACGAAAATACTGTCAGTTGTCCTGAGTGAATATAACAAAAAGTCTGATGAAATGTTACAAAAAGGTTGTCGAACAGTTTGATGTGAGTTTAACATTTTTATACATTTAATTGGCCATCATTTAAGCAATGGTGTTGAACAATCTAGGAATTGGCTTTCATTTTGAATTAGTGACGTCTCATTTATAAAGGCATGACTAATTTCAGTCAGAACAACTATATTGTCATGTCTATCCTTACTGGGGTTGGAAATTCCTCAAATTTGGGTTATGATTTTGGTCATAATGCCCACGTCTAAGTAGTTTATATTAAGGATCTGCTACTTCATAATGCTTAAAGCCCCCAAGCCAGAGGTGACTGTGGAAAGGAACCAAAAGCTTACATTTTGTGGTAGCAAGGCCATTTGAAAATTACTTTGTTTCCCCTCTCTCCCTTTCCTGTATATATTTTATGTGAAAATAAAAAAGTGTGTCAGCAGTGATGAAACATAGCTTTAGAGACATTACTTTTTATTTTCTAATGAAGTTCAACACTATTTTTCATTAACTGGAAAGCTTCCAGCAGATTAATCATTATTCGGGCAGATTTTCTGATTTTATCAGGCAAAATAGGCCTACCTAGTTTCTCGTGTACCCAGATGCTCATGTTATATATTCTGTAGTCTATTTATTTATTTATTTATTTATTTATTTTTACTTTTTAAAACTCATCCTAAGGGACAGAACAAGTCCTGTAATCGAAGAATCAGCCTACTATGATAGTATATGTATGTGTATATGCGTGTATGCAGTGGTTAAAGTGGGATTTGGCAGGTGGGGGAACCCTCAAATTTTGTGTAGGTGCAACAGGGAAAAATGACTCACCGTGGGACAACATATTGAGTATCGTGGTATAGCAATACTTTTTGGGTCAAGAGTATCGCTGTGGCACCAAGTATCACTTATTTACTTTATATTTTAATGGTTTAATTTTGGCCCATCTACACTGATATGATGACGATACTAAGTTCAAATTGCTTAACACTGGGACGAAAATTTTGCCCTGGCACTGTAGCCACGCCATGCAGCCCACATTATCATCCCCAGCCCCACCCACAGACATGTGCATTAAAATGAGAGGTATTTAGGGGGGTGCGGGGACATGCTCCCCCGAGAAAATTTTGATTTCTATGACCTACAAATGTGCAATTTAAGACTTTTGATGGCCAAAAAAAAAAAGGATAAAAATAGCTTTAAAACCATGTCATTGAGTGGGCATTAGATTATTTTGTCAATACCTGCTCTCTCCTCATCTACATCTTTCTTTTTCTCTGTCTCCTAATCCTGCCCTATTTCTTCCCCCTCCTAAAGTTGAACTTTGATTGATAGTCTTTTCATTTTCATCTGTGTCAGTGAAGAAAGTAAACATAGGCTTAACTGATATTTATGTTTTATGAATTATTTTCTTAATCAAGTTAATTTACTCAAGGCTAACACGTCAATATTAAAAGTACTGCTCAAAAGCAGTCGATTATGCAGGCTCAGGTGCAGGACAACTAAGTGAAATAAACAAAATAAAGTAGTGTGAAGTCCGCACACTGAAAAGTACCTGATGGTCGAAACGTTGCTTTTAATAAATTCTTTTGAGCAGTACTTTTCAGTGTGCGGACTTCACACTACTTTATTTTGTTTATTTCACTTAGTTGTCCTGCACCTGAGCCCAATTTGGGTGTTTGGGATGTGCACACCAGCTTTGCATTTTTTGACTTACCAGGTCAATATTGCCACCTTCTACAAGCTTTGGAATTTGAAAAGTTTTTTTTAAACAATACAAATTAGAGGCTACGTTTAACACAGTTGGTGGAATTGGCAGATGTTCCCTCACCATGCGCTGTGCAAACGCGTCAAAGCATTCTCAGGTATAAATATTCAGCATTAATGCACGTAGGTGATTTTGAACGAATATTTAATGTCGATATACAATGGTTACATAATGTTAAAACTAATCCTGCTATTGATCTCTTTGTAAGACCCTATAGGACAGTGGCTAGGGAAAACAAATGTCGGGCGAAATATATCGAACCTAAAACTAACTTTACGCTCTGTACGCTCAACCACCGTGAGTGCATTTCACGCATTTGTAATCGCTCGCGTTCAGCGGGGAGGAAGGGAGGTTGGTTGGTCGGTCGGCCCATATCGGGACCAGCGAGATTCGTTGAGATTAATGAATCTATTTATTTATTAATTTATCTGAGGTGCCGGAACGCAATTCCGGACCATTCCGGCCCACTTTAACCCCTGCGTGTATGTATATGTGTATATATATGTGTGCATGTGTATATATATATATATATTTTTTTTCAATTGTCTGTATGAATGACCTTAACTGTTTATTGCCTAATATACAATGGTTGGATTGGGGAAGATATGGGTGGTTTTGGTGTGATGGAGAGCTTTTGTCTTTGTTCTGTTAGTATGTATGTATGTAAAGTATGTTTTTCTTGAGGTCCCCTCGAAAACGAGATGTCACATCTCAAGGGGTTTTCCTCTTAACAATATACTTTCAAATATGATAATTATGGAATTAGAGCAAACAAATGTTCAATAATTGCTTATTTTTCTCTCTCTCTTTAATAGCTTCAGATACTACAGACTCCCAGATTATTACCCAACAAGCTCCACAACCATGAAGGACTGTCAAGTCCAACCTCTACAGAGGCCCCTTGTGACAGTTTGGATGCCGAGCTTAGTCACCACCCACTGACGCCCACGTCCTGCTCTCCAGACCTACAAAGTCCCATCGCTGTTGAGACTACCCCAAATTGTACTTTACAAACGGTAACTATATCTGCTGATAGCACTGCTGCCTCCTCTTCCAGAACTTTTCAGAGCTCTGATCCTGCTGAGCTCGGCCTCGCGAGCAGCCGGCTTAAAATCAATGAGCCAGCAAGCCCACCAGCTTCTGCTAGCTTTTGCTGTGAGCTAGAGAAAGGTATACAAAAACTTCCTTTAAGAAGAAGCAGTTTTTCAACCCTACAGCCACCCACCTATACTAAGAAAGCTTCAACTCTCATCAAGCCCCAGGAAGTACAGCAGGTCAGTGTGCTCAACAGGGCCCTAGGTAGGGTAGGAGCCACAGGTCTATCCAGAACAAGACATCAACTTTTACCAGCTTCTGGACTACCCTGCATTAACCCAGCCCGACAGACTACCATGGACACAACCACTGTATCACCAATATATAACAAAAAAAATCAAGGGTGCAGACAGTCTCTATTTATCAGAAAGACAGAGAGCAGTTTGCCCAGAGCTCGTGCTCCCCTTCAGCCCAAACATTCCCGCCTTCCTAAGCCAAAGGCGCTTTCTTCTCTCCCAAACCCTCAGCAAGGTCAAACAATAACCTCCCCCGCTCTGCCTTCTCATATGCTACCACAATTCTAGATTAGCCAAGCAAAGCTTGGGGCATCTCACCAGAGTGTACAAAAGCTGCTTCGTAATGCCCTGCTTGTAAGGAACCAGTCAAGTATGTTGACTGATATCAAGGTATTCTTTAAGACAAAGCCATGCTGCTTTGCTTGATCTGCGGGGCTCAAAAACAAATAACGCCCTCTGTGTTACCCTGTAAATTAGGAATTCCATGAAAAAAAGTGATTCTCCACTGTAGCTCCATGGTAAACACCACAAATGGTTTGTATTAAAATGATCTCTGTGTATAAGTGTAATATATCTTGAACATAGGAGGTAATTTAGCAAGAGACCTGATCATTTCTACCTGCTTTTTACCCACAATAATCAATTCAGTTTTTTTCTGGGCTTGCTAGTACTAGAAAAAAGTAAAAGAAAGCTATAAAAAGTCTTACAGTCTTGTACTTTTTACATCCCTGCAGTACAAATATGCAAGCCTACCAATACAGATTTGCTTCCTTTGTGCTGATCTTACCAGTTATTCTTACTATGTACAAAACTTGAAACAGATAACCACTATTTTTTTCTGAATAATGCACTAAGTTGTAAGAGACACTATTGTCTACCTTGTACCTATGCACCTTGCATAAGATATTGCTCCTCTGATAGATTAGTAAGGCGCCATGATGACGACCGAAACCAAGCAGAGGATCGTTATTGCTCCCGCATCGTTTTTTTTTTTTTTTTTTTGTATTGCTCTTATTGATTCTGTTGAGAGAGACTTGCATTTTCCTGTCTTAACTACCACCAAATGTGGTATGTGTGCCGCGTGGGCCATGATGCAGGGTGCCCATTGAGATTTTCAGAGGAGTCGTCTCCTCAAATTGCTTCTCTACCCATCTCTCTCTTTTGTTCTTTTCTGCTAGCGTGAAGATTGTGTCCTGCAGGAATTGGCCTCCCACCACCATACCTAATGAGTGCAAGTTCTGGATCTTAACAACAGAATGTGTTGTAAGTCCTTGAACATAATGTGAAATGCAAAAAATAAAATACAAATCTGGCTGTGAGAAACATTGGCCTATACAGTGAGGGAGTTAGAAGTGGTTGACATGGTTACTTTAAAATTACAGTTATTTCACCAAGTACGATATGTTTGAAAATTATTAGCAATCTTGTTGGTCCTCGACCACATTACTCAGATTTAAGTAATGTTAAACCAGGGCCTAAAATAGACATTACATGGCATAGTCGGGGTGAACTGCGCTTGATTGTGAATTGCAGGAATCAAGGGATGCTGTGTGCACATACTTGCAGTCAAACAATTTTAGCAAAATGAAATAGTTAAACAGTTATTCAAGAACAAATCATAGAACAAGGAAATTACTAGCTGGCCCCCCAAACGTCACTCCCACCCGGGTCACGGCACCAATGCAACCGGTTCTGCCTGACTAGTTTCGAGTGAGTCTTGAACCGGCAACAGCCGGCATGGGAGCTTTTACTACCTGGCCTCTTGTTACACCCAGGTCATACCTGATTATAATGTTAATTTAATTATATTCAATGCCACACTCATCAGTTTCTTTTTAGCTTTCTTATTTATTGTTATCAAAATTAGGAAAAGTTATTATTTATATATTTCATTTATTTTAGAAATTGTTTTAGTAGGGCTGCCCCAGACTAAACCATACTAAACCATAATGAGCTTTTAATATATATATATATATATATATATATATATATATATATATATATATATATATATATAGGCATAATATAGCCTATTCCACACTCAAGCTAATGTATAAAGCTTGCCGCAAAGCACCGGCAAAAGTAATGATTATTAATGTCTCCGAAAAAAATTGCAAAGGAGACATTTTAAATATTTAGAAATAAACTAGTGTTTTCTGTGTCAGTGTCGGCTGCAAAGATGAAGTTGACGATGCTGACTTGCCATCTCCGCAGTATAGTGGACGCACCTTTAGAGAGAAATGCACCTTTCATACGGATTACATAATCAGAGAGTATTTATTTTCAATTTGAATTGGTTCATTTAAAAGTAGACATTTCAAGCTGTCTATAGATATATTTTTCATGTCTGACTGTGAGGCAAGTTTCGGTTCATTTTTGTGACGCGCTCCAGTTCACGGAGACCAAGATGGCAGAAAACGCTTCCTGTTTGTTGTCTTTATTTTACAAAGGCACAACATTTTCTTATTATTGTGAGTTTACACAAATACAAGTAGACCCTTTACAGTATTACTCTTATCTTTATGACCAAAAATTGAATATTTTAAGTAGTTTCCGCTGTTGTCAGGAAATTACGCATGTGATTGTGCCGGCGCCTCCATGTCATACATTAATCGCACTCCGCACAAACACTTAAAGCCTAATAATAGTGCACATTTATCTAGGTTAACGTTAGAGCGAGCAACCAGGTAATGTTGCTACTTACATGTTTCAAATGATAAGCCGTATTTGAGGTCGATGAATGATAGGCGAACGTTTGAATTTCCTGCCCGACATACTATAATTACGTCAAGGACCCGCCGTTAATGATCTGTCCTTCATGGACTGCATGACTTCGCCACAAGTTTTTTTTGTCTTTTTGTTTTCTGCGACTAACCGGCTACAAATGTGGTCGACTAAGCCTCTTCTAGTCGACTAACATTTAGTCGACTATTAGGGGGCAGCCTTAATTTTTAGCTGGTTTGTTAAACAAATGACCAGTTCTGTTCTTACAGTCTCTACTCCTAGTTTCCAAACTGAAAAGTTCCCACTTTCTCTGCTCTTGTAGTTCAGTCTTGTGAAAAATAAAGTGTCCAATCTTTGGAGCAGCAGCAGCCCCCTACTTTCATTCCATGTCTATTCACATCAAGATTCAGTCTGTCTGGTCACCTTAGCAAACACTGGAGTACATGGTTAGCACACCCACTGGCTTATCTGGTGTGAATCCATCAGGCCCTTCAATCAGCACTATCTTGCCTGACAGCTTGCTACATATACCACTGCAAGTCAAACAGTTTATCCCCTGCATGTCAGTTCATCTTATTCCATTTATCTCAGCTATCCTTTGCATGCAGGTATCTTCTAATGAGGCTGTAGATATTGCATCCACCTTGCATAAGACACTGTAGATGTTAAAAAGGGTTTAATGATACAGATCTTTAATACGGTGGAGATGAACCTGATGCAAAGGCTAGATTAGTCCCAAACCCTCACTCTAATCCCTAAATCCTCCTCAATGTGCACTCGCCTCATAAAATGCTTCCATCGCTACCTCTACTTTCCCCTCTTGGCCTCAGCTACTGTAGATATATTTGAGTGAGATGCCGATTTCTCTTCTGAAGAACCCTAGATAAGATGAGGTGTTCTTTTTCTGAAGTGTTTTGGAGTGAATATGATAGTCTCTGTCAATGGAGGATAGTGAAACCCTTTCTGAAGGCTCAAGGAAACTCTAACATCTTATCTTTTTCATATACTACTGAAAAAAAAGCAGACAGTGAGAGATATAGAGGTGCTTTCCTACATAAACATGAAGCAAGTAGCTGCAAAGATTCTGATTATGAATAGCATTAATGTTTAATAGATATGTATTATCAAAGCTTCTTACCAGAGTGTGTAGTACAAGTATAGTTTATCACTTTAACTGTTAACATGTTCCACTAATCTTTGCCAGCCACAAATATTCACACTATTTTTGTCTTTATTTGGAACACTATAATTGTGATCCTGTTTTACCATTTCAAACCTAACTTATTTTTGTGAAATGTTTGGCTTTTGATATTGTGTTATTTAATGTCATGACATTCATACATTTTTAAATGCGGCTTAATTCCACAAATACATTGGAACCAAAGAAATTTAATTTACGACATTTTATTTACATTGCTGCAATGATTTGGAGAGTAAAACATGAACAAAGATACACAAACAATAAGAGTTTGAATCAGAGTTTTTGTCTCACTCTCATGCCCATCTTGTTTATTGCCTGCACTCTTAATATTCCGTTTAATTTTTCACATAATTATACATAAAAATGGACAAAAATCTTGGTCGCCTCATAGTGCAATGCTTGTCGTGTTCAGAGAAGAATTTGATCCGCAAAGCAGGAAGGAGTGTGACTGAAAAATCCGACCTCTACCTGCAGGCTTTTGTAGGTGGGAGCATGACAAAATATTGCATATTTTTTGCAGGAGTGGGTAGAATCTCACAGGAACAGGCTCAAGCAGGTCTGAAAAATTGTTAAGGGGTACACTACTGTCTTTACAACGATATAAAGGTTTATGAACTAAAAACTAATGTCTATGACTTCAATTTTATTTTAAGTCTGTATAAAAGTCACAAACATTATTGTGCGTCTGTGGCCTCATCATCTATTTGAATATGTGTATTACTTGAAACATTGTCTTTATAGCTATACAATAATTGGGCTCATGTCTTTAGAGGTGGTAACTATAATGAACACTAGTTTATTAGGGAGATTAGGGTTTCAACTTCTAATTTCTTTTGTCTCATTTGTAGCATTCAAACGTTGAAGAAACAATACAATTGTGTCATTATGTCTCCCTGTAGTATCAGATATACAGTATAGTATCATATGCAGCATAATCATAACGCCATCAAGATAAATTTGCTCTTTTAGTACTGTTTTTTATTGGCCTTTGTGTTGTATGGCATCTGTTTACTTGATTTTTGCTACATACACTTTAACTGTATGAAACATTGCACTGCCCTATTATGTAAAACTTTGTTCAAACTTAATTTATTTGTGCATTTACAAGTGTTTGTGTGTGTGTGTGTGATACAGATAAAGTTAATCAGATATGCACTTTAATTGTAAAGACGAGATGAGAGATGTTTTCATGTGCTTTACATCTTTCCATGAGGCTGCGTGTCCAAGAACTCTTAATAAAGACCACCAAAAGCTACTGCAAGTATGTGTTTGTGTGAAACTTCACAGAACTATGACAAAAGCAGAGTACATATCTTACTGAGAGTTATTTTCCAATGTCTGAAGGTCTGAATATTTGTGTCCAACAAACTACGAATGTAAGGCCTGCTGAGGGGGACAGAATAGGAACTCTGAGTGACATTGACAGTAAAATTAAAAGGGGTCAAATTACTAGAGAGGACTGGCAAGAAAGTACAGTGATGAGCTTGGGATGTTGATATCTATTTACCCCACTGATCTATATAAATGACTGGATTGCTCATTGCGTTCTAAACTGCCAACAGGTGGTGAAGCCACCGGAAGTGTTCGAGCGGCCATCTTACGATTCCCTGCTGACAGAGGACATCATTGACTTACAGCCAAAACATTGACCTAAAATCATAATTTTCAGCATATCAGTCGCACATGAATAGTTTTTAAGATATATGCATACATTAATTGATATTTAGAACGTT